TGACAGAGAGGGTGTCAACAAAGTCGGTGAGGGTGAGTTCATCAGGGTGGATGCTAAGAAAGCAGTCGCAGGCAGTGGCAAGGCGGTCAGGGAGGCGGGTGGCTAGCAGGTAGAGGGCAGAGCAGAGGGGCGGCTGATGGGCTCTAAGCTGACTCTCAGTGCAGGCAGAGCGCCAGGTCGAGTCTATCGTGCGCATGTGGGCGGCAAGGTCAGCGAAAGTGGGGAAAGACGCAAGGTCAGGGAAGAGCATCAGTAGATCTGGCGACCTACAGAAGCAGCGGGCGGGGTGGAATAGCGCTGGACAACAGCATCTAGGAACTCCTACGCAGTCTTGACCGACTTAAAGCGAGGGCGCTCAGACAGGGGGAGGGCATGACTGATCGCAAGCTGCGCAGCTGCGTCACGCGACAACCAGACTGAGCGAGCAAGGGCAGCAGCTGCAGCGGACTCACACTCAGCAGACGAGGGGTCAGCGGGCTTTGCAGGAGGGGGGTCAGGGCAGGGAAGCGTACCGTCAAGGTGGACAGATAGTGAGTGGCCATCCTGCCGCTGACCAGTGAGATGGCGGCGGAGGTCGACCAGCCACGCTTCAAACTCAAGCGGCTGGCCCTCAGCGTCGAAGTGAAGCACGTCCGCCATCAAGAACTGTGCAGCAGCGAAGGAGGGCGGCGCTGTGCTGTGCTGTGCGGTGCAGTGCGGTGCAGAGCGGTGCAGTGCGGTGCATTGCAGTGCAGAGCGGTGCAGTGCGGTGCTATGCGGTGCAGAGCGGTGCAGTGCAGTGCAGAGCGGTGCCGGGCGGTGCAGTGTGGTGCACGTCGGGAAGGACGGGCCGGGCACGAGTCGGAGGTAGGCCGGCGACAAAACGAGGTCGGGGCCGGCGCAGAACTGACGCGAGGGAGAGGAGCCAGCTAGGAGCGGGTGCGGGGCCGATGAGAGGCGGCGCGAGGGGCCGGCTAGGACAGGTGCGACGGCGCTGGGGGGCCGGCTAGAGACGGGCGCGCGCGGGGGCGCAAAGGGCCGACTAGGAATGGGCACGACAAGGGGCGCGAGGGGCCGGCTAGGAGCGGGCGCGACAAGCACGTGGGTCCGGCTAGGACGGGCGCAACGGCGCGTGGGGCCGGCTAGAACGGGCGCGACGGGAGCTTGTGGGGCCAGCTAGGAACGGGCGCGACGGCTCTAGGGGCCGGCTAGGACGGGCGCGACGGGCGCGTGGGGCCGGCTAGGACGGGCGCTAGGGCGCGAGAGGGCAGGCTAGGGCGGGCGCGACGGGGGGGCGCGTGGGGCCGGCTAGGAACGGGCGCGGCGGCGCTGGGGGCCGGCTAGGACGGGCGCGACGGGCGCGTGGGGCCGGCTAGGACGGGCGCAACAGGCGCGAGAGGGTTGGCTAGGACGGGTGCGACGGGGGCGCGTGGGGGCCGGCTGGGAACGGGCCCGACGGGCGCGATGGGCGCGTAGGGCCGGCTTGGACGGGCGCGACGGGCGCGACGGGCGCGAGAGGGCCGGCTAAGACGGGCGTGACGGCGCTAGGGGCCGGTTAGGAACGGGCACGCGGGGCGCGACGACGCTAGGGACGGGTGCGAAGGGCGCAAGGGGCCGGCTAGAACGGGCGCGGGGGCGGCTAGGGCCTAGGGCGGAAGCGCGAGCGGGCTAGATGGACCTAACATACTCATGATACCATATCAAACTGAGAGAATGAACTAGAATGGGAGAGTACAAGGGAGTATACCCTAGGAGCTGTACCCTCTAAGGCACAAACCTATACAGTCTATACAAACATAACAATATATGTTTGACACATTTGGCCAATGTCACTTTCTGCCCCTCGAATGGTCAGTTTGACACGTGGCATAACGGCATTGTCGTGATGTAATTCTTTTCACGAGAGTAGCATGGGCTTCTCGCTCAGAACTGGCAGGAGAGTTTCGAACGGACCTCCGGACGACCGCTCGAAACCCTGATGGATACTGGTGCTATGTTCATGAGTCCTCACGAACTAGCCTCGTGGCATGGCATTCTGTGAAGAGAAATTCACGAATCACCCTAGCTACTTGGACAATTTTAGGACTTAGCCAAGGACAGTAGCACTGTCAAGCTCGCCGCAAACATAGGAGGAGACAGACATGACCTTCAGCAGGGTTACTAGTTTGAGAGCTCAGAAGGATTCTGGGTTAACGTTCCTTGAATCCAGAATATTCAGAGTACTTCTGGACCCATTCCAAAACTCCCTAGGGCCTAGCGTAAGCCCTGTCCAAGTGCCCAGGCCTTTCTCTTGCTTTCCACCAAACCAGAACGAGAGATACTTGCGATAATTGACAACAGCGCCGCGTGGCACTTCTCTCTTCTCCAGACCATACTCTAGCGTGTACACCCTCGCCCCACAGGGTTCTCGTGATTGGGAATCCCTGGGGAGTTCTCAATGTCGGTCTTACCCTCTCTACCTCGAGGTTAGACTCAGCTTTTCCCGCGCCTCTCCAGGTCCTAGTTGCCGCTCCGCCATTCGCCTCAAAGTTTCCGCCATGGATTTCCCATCGACTCGAAGCACACAGAGCCTGCCATTATGCGCGTCGTGCCGCCATGGCCCGAATCACAACGGGACTGCCTCCTCGCTTCGTTTGCCTCGCCTCGATCCCGTTCCTCCCTCTCCGAACTGTTCCACCACCGAGCCTTTCCTCGGCATCAAAGCTTCCTCATCGCACTTCTTTATCGCATTACATATTCTCCCTTCTTCTCCGGCAGGACATATAGTTGCTTCTGCAGTCCACTTCGTTGATTTCCTCTTTGGATCCGTCGTGGTTCGAATCAAGTTAAACCAAGGCGCCATGGCTTCCGTCGCCGAGGATAATGCTGTCGTCACTGATCACTGCCCCATTGCTTCTCTTCCCGACGATCTGCTTGTCGACGTCTTTCACTGCCTTGTGCCAATTTCCCACTTTCATCCGCCTCTTCTAACCAGCAGAACCCGCCTACAGCATTGTCATCAGCGACGTTGTCCAACATCTCCTCCCCCCTCGCAAGCCTCTTTCTCGTTCGTGTCTCGTCACTGGCTTCGACTCGCATATGTTGCGACCACGTCTTTCCGCCTGACACGTCGTCCGGGAATCTCAGCCTCACAGCTCCTCTGCGCCGTTAGCCGCATGCCAAGGCTTGAGTCTCTCTGGATCGATTTTTTGGAGTAGATCCTATGACTGACGACCTCGTTGCGCAGGTCGCGGCCGCTTGTCGCCCGCTTTTGCGGTTTCGCTGCTCTCCAGTGGTGATCGAGTTGGCGAGGACGATCGTGTCTGGACGTCCCTAGCGCTCGAGGCGGTGTTCCAAGGTTGCACACGTCTGAAGGAGCTCGTGCTCGAATGCCCGCCCGCCATCACAGAGTTTCCTTCCAGTGTCACAAACCTGGCTGGACTCCTACGTCTCATCATGTCTTCAGAAGGCAGCAATTTTAGCCTTCCTAAGACATCGGCCAAGCTTCATGCTCTGAGAATTCTCCACTTGGAAGTTCGTCGCCTCACGGTGCTGCCCGAAAGTCTTGGCAACCTTGGCAATCTGCAGGAGCTGAAGCTCAACGGCTGCTGGGGTCTGTCAGCAATACTCGAGACAATCGGGCGGCTCCTGAAACTACGTGTCTTTCGTGCCTGGGGCTGCGGCACGCTTCTCTTCCTCCCTGATGCTCCTTTTCAGTTGCGCTATCTTGGAATTACTGGAACTCTTCATGCCAAACCTGGCCAGGCTGCCGGAGAGTACCGGGCAGTCCCACAGCCTTCGGCGCCTCATCGTACGCAACCGCTTCAGGGGTATACAGCTGCCTGCGTCCTTCACGAGGTTGTCCTCTCTTGAGGAATTGAAGTTGGGTTCACGCCTTCAGGAGCTGCCAGAAGGCTTCGGGAATCTGACCAATCTCAAAGGCCTGGAGCTGAGTCGTTGCCCTAGGCTCACTCTGCCCTCCTCTCTACCGCAGCTGTCTCTCCTTGAACGACTTGAGATCAAAGGGCAGCAGATGGTTTCTCTCCCAGAGACCATAGGGCAGCTGCCAGCACTCAGAGAGCTCCGTATCTCCAGCTTCAGCAATCTCCAAACCCTTCCTAATTCCATTGGTCAGCTGCAGCAGCTTCGATCCCTAACACTCCGCAAGTGCAGCTCACTCCGAGTGCTGCCAGAGTCCCTGCTGCAGCTCAGTGCTTTGGAGAGACTCGAGTTTTTTCTCTGCACACTCTCCTCCCTCCCTGAGGACATCCACCTCTTGACAAGCCTTCGATGGCTGAATCTCAGCAAGTGCCCAGAAATCAAAGAGCTGCCTGCCAGCATCTCCTGCTGCCCTTCCCTTGCGTGCGTTAGCATCCAAGATTGCCCCGCTCTCACAAACATCCCTGGAGGGGATTGGCACCGGTTTATAGTGCAGCATGACGGCCAAGTGATCATGCGCCAGTGAATCGGTTAGGATGGATGATCGGACAGAGTTGAGCAGGCACGGGGGAGGTGGTGGTGAAGGGGGTAGGGTTTCTCAAATGTGGTGCTCCAGTGGATGGTGATGCATGCCTATAGATAGCAGAAATGGTTAAGTGTGGTGCTTACGAGTGTTCAGGAAACAAGCGAAAGATGACCAATTCCTATTTCTAGATGTTTTTCCTTGCAAGACACACTTAAGCTTGCTGCACTCAGCAGCATACAGATTGTGTCACGACTCCTAAGAACATGCACTTCAAATTAATGGAGGGACATGCTAATGCTAAAGAGATGCACAGCAAGGTAGTGCGGTAACTATCTACCTTCAACGAAGTTAGTGATCTCAACACCGCAGCATCTTGTATGGGGTATGTGAAGCAACAGCATGGCAGCAGCATATGAGAAATGGCATGATAAGTGTTCCCACGGGTTTCGCCACTAAGAGCACGCACAATGTTGCCAGGCACGTCAGGTTGAACACCACCACTGCAGAGAGGCACAGGCGTGGAAGGGAGGGGGCAGGAGGAGTGAAGGTTTGGCAATGGCAACGAGCTAATTGGATAGCAGTGCTTATGAAGTTTGAGCAAAAGACACATGCCAGCGCGAGGCGACAGAGAAGAGAGAGAGAGAAGAGAGAGAGAGAGAGAGAGAGAGAGAGAGAGAGAGAGAGAGAGAGGAGAGAGAGAGGAGAGAGAGAGAGAGAGAGAGAGAGGAGAGAGATAGAGATAGAGAGAACACGAGAGAGAGAAAGAAGGGAGAGGGAGGAGGGAGAGGGAGAGGGAGAGGAGAGGGAGAGGGGGAGGGGAGGGGAGGGAGGGGAGGGGGGGGAGGGGAGGGGGAGGGGGGGGAGGGGAGGGGGGGGGGAGGAGGGGGGGGGAGGGGGGAGAGAGGAGGGAGGGGTGAGGGAGGAAGGGAGGGAGGAGGGGGGGGAGGGAGGGAGGGAGGGAGGGAGGGAGGGATGGATGGAGGGAAGGAGGGAGGGAGGGAGGGAGGGAGGGAGGGATGGAGGGAAGGAGGAGGGAGGGAGGGAGGGAGGGGAGGGAGGGAGGGAGGGAGGGAGGGAGGGAG